GACGAAGAGCACGAAAACCGGGCAGAGGGTTTTCACCAGTCGGAGAGGTGTCTTGGCAATAAAACCATGTCTGATTCCAGTCTTTGGGATGACTCGGCGGGTTGGCATAAGGAAAGATTACGTCCCTACAACGCTGGATCGAGACACCACCAAGTTCTAAGCTCTGGCCGCTGGCGCACTCATTCTGGCGGTTCAAGTAGAATAGCTCTCTGAAGAGTAAAATGTTGGGTTCTTCTCCAAGATGTACTTCACTGAATACTTGGAAGTTGCAGATGTTAGACACGGAATTGGATCTGATGTCTTGCGGGTGAAAATCAAAGAAGTGCAACACATCTCTGAAGAATTTGAGCCGGGTGGAGAGAAACCCCGGTTCATGTGATCCGTGAAAACAACAACCTCTCCCGTTTTGGGCTGAGGAAATTCCTCCTCCGGGTTAGGAGCACGATAAGACATGATTTCCTTCTTCGGTAGATAGCCGGTCTTCACAAAGTCGTCAAGAGTGTTGTCTGTGATAATGGATTTGACCCAGTTGCAGGAAGTGGGTGCTTTCGGTGCCATTGTGATGAAAGCCTAAGATGGAGTAAAAAGTACCGGTTCAAATTTAAGCGGGACAGGAAAAAACATTACAATGCATATTCAAGATAGCGGCTTATGAAGGGGCCTAATGGTATAAGGATAATTATGTCAAGATTATTTAAGCCGCCATAGGCTCTATAAGCCGTCAAGACTGTTTAACCCGCCATGGGTGGTCAAGGTTATCAATTGAGCATTGCCTCTTTAAAGCCGGTGATAAGAGTCGCCATGGCTAGATAGATCTAACAAGTGCAGATTTTTGCCTAAGTGTTGCATAAACAAGTTTCTCAAACTGCATCTATTATTTTGGATCAAATGGATGTTCAGAAAAGAAAAATTTCTAGACCTAAAAACATGGTACAGAGGAGTTCATGTGTTCTAATGAGGATTCTTTACAAAGAAAGATGATCTGCTAGTGCCTAAAATGGATGCAGAACAGCTACCGCATGAGATCTAGGCCCAGTTCTTTTGGCCAGATTATGGAGAATCTTGGTCCCGAAAATCCTGAGCGAAAAGAACTTGATTGAACTTCCAAAATCTCAACCGGATTCTCCAGAATCCTAGTGCAATTCCAAAATCCCAAAATACCTGATTTCTCCCACAATCTCAAGATTCTGGCAAGTCCCACCAAAGAAAACGTTTCGAAGTATAAATGTACCCCTATTGTATCACGTATTTACAGTCAAAATGCCACCCCGCAGTCCAGCCCAGGACCCCGAAAACGAGCGGTGCTCGCTTGTCTCCCAGTTCCCGCACCGCATCGGGGCAGCGGAGCAGCCGAGCTTCAAGCCGCCCCTGCCCTCGCCGTCCAGCCTGCCCCCGGCCAGGCCGCCCCCGCCCCCGCCGGCCAGCCGCCCCCGCCTGGTCCGCCCCACCCTCCCTGCCCGGCAGTTCGCCCCGCCCCGTCAGCTTCGCGGCAGCAGCTAGGATTATTCCTCCACCCTCCCCGCCAGGCCGTCGCCGCCCCCGCCGGCCAGCTTCCCTCCTCAGCTCCTCCTCGCCCCTCAGTCCACCCCGTCCCTCAGCCCCGTCCCTCAAAGTTCGATGCCTACACTCACGGTGATGGACTTTCTGTAATGGAAAAAACTTTAAATCTATTGTAATATTTAGTACTTTTTATGGCATTCTTAATTCACTTTCGTTACGGTTAGAAACAACAAAGTATTAACATTTCATCAAACAAATTCTGTCTATGGGTAGTACAGACATTTCAACACACAATAGGTTCTAGAATCTCAAACTACAATCTCTGAAAAGAACTCGATGACAGATTCTGGGAGAAGCTGATTCTGGGAGAATTTTCCAGAATCCCGATTTTGTAGAATCTTGCCTGAAAAGAACTGGGCCCTATGCTACTGTTGGATCAAAAGAAGCCACGGCAGAAGAAAACACGAAAAACTGAGATGAACTACGAACTGTACAGAGGAACTCGCTAACCCTAGCGTGGATCTAAGATGTGGAAAGGGGAAAACTTACAGCGGTAGATCTGTCACGGAGGGGCGCCGCCGTTCTCTGGACGGATTCAGGTTGATGCAACGGCCAAAGTCAACGAAGACGAAGGTGCGCTGCGGCGGCGGCAGAGCTCGAGCAATAGTAGGGGGCGAGAGGAAGAAGATGAAGAAAGGGAAGAATGAAGAAAGACCTAGTCGGGTCTATTTATAAGGAAGGACCACTAAAAGAGTGCGAAAAACGAGGTGGTCGAAAAGATAAGTTATCCAACTACAAGGACGCCTTGATTTTCGGGATGGTCATCAAGATAAAGATCCCTTGGGATACATTGAACAAAACGTGCATTTATGGCAGGTGACGCCATGGCGGGGTACCACAAATCCAGAGGATGACGTCATGGTGGGTTACGAAAATTTCATAAGTAAAGGGCAGAAGATTTTTTCTTAAAGTGTTGAAGATTGACATGAACCAGTCCAAATCAATCTGGGGCCTAATGTTGGGGATATAATTATTGGTGTGACCCGCCCAGGAGGGGCCGGGTTATACCTACAAGTATTCTTGAAGCCCAAGACCAAGGTTGAAGATGGCGGTTCAGTTAAGGGCCCAAAGCCCAGAGGCGACTTAAGGCCCGTAGTGATAAACCGCCATATGTACGTGACTTGTATTGTAAGGCAAGAATAGTTAAGAGACCGAGCCGGACACTGTTTATGAGCCGGCCGGGACTCTGTGAGCGCTGGGGGCGTCGACCTCTGTATATAAAGGGATGACCCGGCGGCGGTTCAGGGCAAGTAACATCATATCGAGAGCTAGGTCAACCAATTCCGCTCCCTAGTTATCGAGTCATAAGCAATCCCACCCAAAACTGGATCGTAGGCTTTTACCTTCACCGTAAGGGGCCGAACCAGTATAAACCTCGTATCCTTTGTTCCGATTAACTCCTTTAAGCTTCCTAGTTGCGATGGCTCCACGACTAAGTTCTTTCACTAGGACATCTGACGTGACAATTCCACGACAATCCCCTTAAATATTCAATTCAGACGAGCACTAGTTGGTGAGCGATGGAATGCATGGATGCACCTGGTTCGGAGATTGATAGATGTCCAACTCTCCGACCAATCGGACTCCACGCAATGGAAACTATCTAAGAACGGGATTTTTACGGTAAAATCTTTCTACATGGATTTGATTAATTCTGGCCCAGTCTCGAGATCGTTGCATATTTGGAAGATTAAGGTTCCTTTGCGCACTAAATTTTTTATGTGGTTTGTCCACAAACAAGTAATTCTTACAAAGGACAACTTAATCAAGAAGCGATGGGTAGGTAGTCCATGATGTTGCTTTTGTGATCATGATGAAACAATACAACATTTATTTCTTAAATGCCCACTAGCCAAATTGCTTTGGAGAACGATTCATATAGCCTTCAACATTATCCCTCTAGTTGACATTGCATCGTTGTTTGGAATGTGGTTAACTGGGGTCGAACATACTACGGCGGCTCGTATTCGGATTGGAATATGTGTGCTCTTGTGGGCTATATGGAATTGTCAGAATGATTTGATATTTAACAGACAACACAATTTAACTTTCTTGGAGGTCATCTTCATAGCTATCGCTTGGATCCGTACGTGGTCCTTACTCACTCGTATGAAATCCAAGGAGCCTATGGTTACTGGGTGCAACCAGTGGGAGATGGTAGTACAGGCTATATTCAACCGGTTCGGATGACTGTCGCATAACAGGATAGGAGTCTAGCGAGCTTATCCATCTTATTGCCATTCCGGTTGTGATTGTCAGCATGAACTTTGATTTATTTTTTATTTTGTGCTCCACTTACGAGCTGTAATACTTTGGCGACTTTGTGATACTCTGTGAACTTTTAATAAGATGGCTGCATGCATCATTATGATGCAGAGGCCGGGGTACGTCTTTATTTTCAAAACAAAAAAAAACAGCTTTCCCACCTCCAGAACCTGTCAGTCAAGTTGACAGCTGGTTACATGCAGTTATGAGGAAAGACTGAGGGAGAATGTTTCCATGTTGCATGCTTGCATTGTAGGTATTGGTTTAACTTGAAATGGTAACCAAGCTCAGCCAATAGGTCGATTTATAACAGAAGAAAATCACAAGGGGGCAACAAAATACTTAACATTAGTTGACAAATCAGAAGTGCATAATAGATGTGCCATCGTAAATTAGATGGAAGTACTTAGAACTTATCTAGATGAGATATAATTTGGTCTCATTCACTTTAAAAACAAGAACAGATACAATCCACGTCAGCACATACGCATCTTATAGCATCACATCCAATGGCTATAAAAGTTGAATGAGACCAAATTATATCTCATCTAAATGAGTTCTAGCAAAACTGAAATTAGATTGGTCCTGCAGCTGACTTTTCTTAGAACCATCACACTGCTCCCGCGTTGTCCCATTAACAAGAAAAATACTCATTACTCCCGCATTATTAGTTTGGAATTCTTGTTAAAATACAGGAAAATCATGCGTCGCTACAACACCTGTCTAACGGCTGTGATCTAGTTCAACTATCTTCTGTTGCAACAACGGAATGAGCAACGTGACGGCCGCCATAGTATTATTATTATTACTACATTTTCATGTCCAAACGTTGGTGTATGACAACACTCGTGACAGGACAAATGCTTCGCTCAAGCCTCTCGCGCTTGTGATTTTGCTGACATTTTCATGTCCTTTTGATAACTTGCACCTTCACCATGCATGCACAAATGTTTAGAGTTGAGACATTCTAAACATAGGTGGCTTCGGTCAGGAAGAGGATGCACCTCCGACGATGACGGCGAGCCGCAGATGCATGCACGGACAAGCTCACCACCGACATCGCCGGATCATCCTCCCCCCGTTTGCTGCCCCCTCTTCTGGTCTGCCCTATAAAAGCAGGGCAGCAAGCAAGAAGAGGCACAGCGGCAACAAGGAACAGTTCAAGAGAAGAGAAGATGGCTTCTTCTTCCTCGTCGGTGCTGCTGGTTGCGGCGGTGGTGGCCGCGGTGGTGTGCGGCGCGCACGGCATTCCCAAGGTTCCCCCTGGCCCCAACATCACGGCGTCGCCTGCGAGCTACGGCAACAAGTGGCTGGACGCCAAGACCACGTGGTACGGCAAGCCGACGGGCGCCGGGCCCAAGGACAACGGCGGCGCCTGCGGGTACAAGGAGGTGGACAAGGCCCCCTTCCACGGCATGACCTCCTGCGGCAACATCCCCATCTTCAAGGACGGCCGCGGCTGCGGCTCCTGCTTTGAGCTCAAGTGCACCAAGCCCGAGGCCTGCTCCGGCGAGCCCACCATGGTCACCATCACCGACAAGAACGAGGAGCCCATCGCCCCCTACCACTTCGACCTCTCCGGCCACGCCTTCGGCTCCATGGCCAAGAAGGGCGAGGAGCAGAAGCTGCGCGACGCCGGCGAGGTGGAGATCAAGTTCCGGCGCGTCAAGTGCAAGTACCCGCCGGGCACCAAGGTCAACTTCCACGTGGAGAAGTCCTCCAACGAAAACTACCTGGCCCTGGTGATCAAGTTCCTCCAAGGCGACGGCGACGTGGTGGGCGTAGACATCAAGCAGAAGGGCGAGGACAAGTGGACCGAGCTCAACGAGTCGTGGGGAGCCGTGTGGAGGATCGACACCCCCCACAAGCTCATCGGCCCCTTCTCCGTCCGCTACACCACCGAGGGCGGCACCAAGACCGTCGTCGAGGACGTCATCCCCAAGGGCTGGAAGGCCGACACCTCCTACGAGGCCAAGGGCGGGTACTGAAGATGATGATGATGATGATGCGAACCACACCTTCCGGCAGCGTGCTTAATTAATTAACTAACTCCTTTTGGCTCCAGAAGAAGAATAAACCAGCCGCACATATATCATACACATATGATGCGATGAGAGCATGAGTATACTTATTCATTCATTTACTATAGGGAAAGAGCGTGGACAACTAATAATTTCTTGTTTGATGTATCTAAACTTGCTCATGATTGTAAACATGTCTTATTAACAGAAATTGATATGCACACATTAATTATGTTTTCTTTTCTTTAAAAAATCCCATGAAAGATGGTCACAACGGGCTCGAGCTAGCCCCTTATTTTTCTTCTTCTCTTCTCAAAAACTGAATTGCCACACCTAAACAACAGGGTAGCACTATAGCTCACTTGGAGACCACTTAATTAGGTCGCTGGATGGTCTCCATTTTCGCCAATGGGAATATATTAATATCGCAAAGATACCGATTACATCCAGTCTCTGCAACAATAAAATGTTCTACAGACATTACGGATGCACACAACCCTACAACAAAAAAGAAAAGGAAGAAGAAGAAGAAGAAAACAAAAGATCCTGCTATGGTGATCAAAACCATGTAGCTGCAAAACAAACCATCGGGAAGGCAGCACCCGGTGTCCAAATTCTCCAAAAGCGACGCTTTCAAGAAGGAAACAGTGCACCCGCCGGCAAGCCCGAGGCCTGCTCCGGCGAGCCCACCACCGTCACCATCACTGACAAGAACGAGGAGCCCATCGCCCCCTACCACTTCGACCTCTCTGGCCACGCCTTCGGCTCCATGGCCAAGAAGGGCGAGGAGCAGAAGCTGCGCGACGCCGACGAGGTGGAGATCAAGTTCCAGCGCGTCAAGTGCAAGTACCCGCCGAGCACAAAGGTGAACTTCCACATGGAGAAGTCCTCCAACCCCAACTACATGGCGCTGGTGATCAAGTTCTTCCAAGGCGACGGCGACGTGGTGGGCGTGGACATCAAGCAGAAGGGCGAGGACAAGTGGATCGAGCTCAAGGAGTCGTGGGGAGCCGTGTGGAGGATCGACACCCCCCACAAGCTCATTGGCCCCTTCTCCATCCGCTACACCACCGAGGGCGGCACTAAGACCGTCGCCGAGAACGTCATCCCCGAGGGCTGGAAGCCCGACACCTCCTACGAGACAAAGGGCGGGTATTGAAGATGATGATGATAATGCGACACCTTTCGCAGACAGCTTAATTAACTTCTTCTGGCTCCAGAAGAAGAATAAACAAGCCGGACATATCATATACTAGTACAGTAGTAGTATATGATGAATGCAAGCTCCTGCACGCATGGCTATACATACTCGTTCGTTCATGCTGTGTATATATAGGGAGAGAGTTGTAAAGTAGTTTGGGAAGCGTAGAACCCTTTGTCTCGGGCCGCGTTGTATATATTGAGGCAAAGTCTTGGTTGACAAGTTACAGAGAAGATCGATCTCGGGCCGTGTTGTATATATTGAGGCAAAGCCTTGGTTGACAAGTTACAGAGAAGATCGAGAGAGGAGGAGATCGACCAGAACGAGGAGATCGACCAGGAGAGGTCATTACAAGGGATAAAGAGAAGAAGAGATAGATACAAGTTTAAACACACCTCTCCTATACCTATACAATAATTCTAACACTCCCCCTCAATCTAAACCTCAAGCCTTGCTAAGGTTGAGATTGTACTTGAACTCATCCAGTCTTCTCTCGGTCAAGGGTTTAGTAAACCCATCTGCAAGTTGATCCCATGTAGGAATGAACCGTATCTCAAGTAGCTTTCAAGCTACTCTCTCTCTCTCTGACAAAATGAAAGTCCACCTCAATATGTTTTGTTCGTGCATGGAAGACAGGATTTGCTGACAGATAAGTTGCACCAATATTGTCACACCATAATCGTGCAGCCTTCGGAGCTTTAATTCCAAGCTCATAGAGTAATGTTTGTATCCACATTACTTCAGCTGTGGCATTTGCTAATAACTTATATTCAGCCTCTGTACTTGACCTTGAGACAGTAGCTTGCTTCCTTGCACTCCATGACACAAGATTAGATCCCAGAAACACAGCAAAACCACCAGTGGATCTTCTATCATCAGCACACCCTGCCCAGTCCGCATCAGAATATGCAGTAACAAGCAAGGAAGAGGACTTGACAATCTGAAGTCCAAGTCCTTGAGAATACTGAAGATACCTTAGGATTCTCTTAACTGTTGTCCAATGAGTAGTTCTAGGAGCATGCAAATATTAACATACCTTGTTCACCGAGTAAGAAATATCTGGACGTGTAAGTGTTAAATGTTGCAAAGCACCAACAACACTTCTATAATTTGTTGCATCTTCTGGACCAAGAGCTTCTCCACTATCAATTGTAAGTTTTTCTGAGGTGGAAATTGGTGTGCTGACAGGTTTGCAATTCTCTAATACCACCCTCTTTAGAACATCAGCTGTATATTTTTCTTGTGACAGAAGTATGCCATCTCTGACTTGCTTTACTTCTATGCCAAGAAAATAGTGAAGATCACCTAGATCCTTGAGAGAAAATTCAAGTTTTAAATCCTTAAGCAAAGAAGTTGTGGCCTCTTGACTTAAACTAGCAACGATTATATCATCAACATAAACAAGCACAAAAACAGTGATATTGCCTTTGCTATAAAAGAACAAGGATGTATCTGCTTTGGATGGTGTGAACCCAAGATGTTGTAACTTCATGCTCAACCTAGAATACCATGCTCTTGGAGCCTGCTTAAGTCCATATAATGCTTTATCCAACTTACATACATAATGTGGTGTGCTATGACTTTCATAACCTGGTGGTTGCCGCATGAACACTTCTTCCTCAAGAACACCATGAAGAAACGCATTCTGAACATCTAGCTGTCGTAAGCTTCATCCTCTGGAAATAGCAATGGACAAAACAAGGCGAATGGTAGTTTCTTTAACCACAGGACTAAAGGTATCATCATAATCAATTCCAAACCTTTGCTTAAAACCTTTTGCAACCAACCTTGCCTTGTACATGTCTATACTACCATCAGATTTCCTTTTGATCTTGTATACCCACTTACAATCAATTATGTTAGCACCACGTTGCGGTGGTACTAGATACCAGGTCTTATTTTTTATGAGTGCATTATACTCATTATCCATGGCTTCCTTCCAATTCTTGCTAGCAAGTGCATCATGCAAATTGATAGGTTCACCAGTAGTGGCAAGGAAAGCACGCTTAGTCGGATTATACTTTATTGTACCATCACTATATTGTTTTTCTTTGACGATACCTGACCGAGACCTGGTGTGTCGACGAGGGGGTGAAGGAGCCACAAAACCGGCTACTGTTGGCTGCGGCACAGGAGATCCAGCAGCTTCAGCGTCGTCCACAGAAGATCTAGGTTGGTGAGGCTCCTGATCCGAGGAAGATGCGCGTAGCTCCTCATCCTGGCGGCGCATCGGATCGACCAGCGGACCCCCACACGACGTGGTAGCCGGGGAGTCGCTCCCTCCCGCGCCGCGCTCGACAGCCGCCTCGGATCGCGCAGGCGAGGATTGGTGTGAGGCGCCAGGATTCGTGCTAGGGCCCACGCCCGCACCTAGTCCGTTGTGGCCCGCTCGGTCGGCTTGGCATGACGTGCCTGGACCCGCGACAGGGCCCGCGCCTGGACCCGCGTGACCCACCTAGTCGGCTTGGCATGGCGCGCTCGGGTCCGCGCTTGGACCCGCGTCTGGGCCGTTGTCGCTGTCGACCGCCAGGGGCAAATCTACACGGGATCGCGTGCCGTCCTGCGCTTCATGTTGCCGTGGATCTGCCTGGGATCACGCGCTGACAGCCGGATCATCCTCGGATACCGCGCCTGGTTTGTCCTGTGTACACATAAAATGACGAGTAGAATCTGTACAAGAGCCATTAGAGACGCAGTTTTCTGTGGAGTTTTGCACATGATCATGATCATTTAATTCACCCCTGTGATCAGGATGTATAGAATAGTCTGGTAGGAGTGCAATTTCTGCACGAAGCAAGGCGCCAGCATTGGGATGAAGTAGTGAAAAGGGGAATAATGTTTCATCAAAGATAACATCACGGGAGATATATATGTGTCCAGTAGATGGTTCAAGGCATTTATATCATTTATGAAGGTTACTGTACCCAATAAACACACATTGTGTGGAGCGAAAATCTAATTTGTGGCGATTGTATGGACGTAGGTTGGGGTAACATGCACACCCAATTTTTTTGAGGGAGTTGTAGTCTGGTTTTTGATGATACAATCGTTCTAAAGGAGTTGAATTGCCAACGACCTTACTGGAAGACAGTTGATAAGATATGTAGCTGTGATGAAGGCCTCATCCCAATACTTGAGAGGCATAGATGCATGAGCTAATAGGGATAGACCAACTTCGACGATATGACGGTGTTTGCGTTCAGCAGAACCGTTTTGCTGATGAGCATGAGGGCAAGACACATAATGAGTGATCCCAATGCTACGGAAGAAGGAGTTGCGTTTTTCATACTCCCCTCCCCAGTCACTTTGGACTGAAATAATTTTCCTATCAAAGTGACGCTCAACTAGCTTCTGAAACTCTTGGAAGATGGAAAAGACTTCAGATTTATACTTAAGCAAATAAATTCATGTGAACTTGCTGTAATCATCAATGAAGCTAACATAATCTTTTTTTCGACCAAAAGAATCTCGAGCATGACCCCATACATCGCTGAAGATCAATTGTAATGGGGCATGAGACACACTAGTAGACTTAGGATAGGGAAGCTGATGGCTCTTGGCACATTGACATGCTTCGCAAACAGACTCATTATTTGAACTACGTGACAAAGGAAGTTTGTCTTTATTGACTACTTGCCTAACTATGACTGGTGAGGGATGTCCTAATCTTTGATGCCACCGCTCGAAAGAGGGCTTGATGACGGAGTAGACTCGATGATGCTTGTTGCTAAGAGCTCCGGAGGAGATGGGGTAGAGGCCACCAACG